AATTGGAGGTTTGTTAGTACGAAACCATTTCAGTCAACATCAAAGGATTTTACACTTAAATTCAATTATTATCACATGAAGTTAGACAAGGCACATGTCAGGCAACATACATTGTTGTTTCTTTTTGGCATTTTAGTATTTTCAATGATATGTTCAGTATTTAAGGAAGGATTTTTTTGTGAAGTTCAAGATGACTATTTTTCTGGAAGTGATTGCTTTTAAACAAATATAGTGTGTGTCACTGGTCATTGACATCACAGCGTTTCACCGTAAATGTTATCTGGCACACTTGTCTTATTGAACCAATCTGATATCCATATCTTGCATATATCTGGCTCCATACAAGATTTAGGAGAACCGTGTTAGTGAATGAGAGAAATTGCAATTGAATCGTTACATGATATGTAGGCCTTTGTTTATTCAAGAATGTGAATTGCACAGGGGCCAGACATGTTATAGTGTGAAGTGTCTGACCCCTGTAGGTTTAATCCTAGTGAAGACTATGTTAGGTCGGATGTTATTGAATTTGTTGTGTTGCAGTGTGAATGATTGTGAGCCAAATTAGGAGGAAAAGGTACAACGAAGTCAGGAATTTACAAAGGGAGATAACTATATATTTGCATGTAAGGAGACAGAGTTCTTTTACAAATAATCGAAGTCAAATTTTGAGACCAAGTCAAATGAAATAAAGAGACCATGAGCTAACTTCAAAACCAAAATGTCTTGTCTGAGCAATGTTTCAATTAAAGCTCCTTGAACTTAAGTGATATTAACGTTCATGATGACGAGTTATCTCCCTTGTTTATAAGTTGTACTGCCACATGATACGGATACATTGTAAAAAATGTATGTCATTCATCTACCACTAATAAAATGTAGATATTTTCCTTGATTTTGACTTCTCGTTGTCGATATCCGTCGTAGCTAGAAGTATCTTAGTCCGAATTATTCTGACGTTTTATCGACTTTTTTCATACGGGTCTGTCGTCGATTAATCGACGACAGACCGATATGAAAAAAGTCGATAAAACGTCAGAATAATTCGGACTAGAAGTATCTGTGCTGACACCTGTTCGTTGTTCGTGTTTCGGCATTCCCCGTGTTGTCAACATTTCAAATTGCGTGGCAGGATGTATGAAGGTGATGTATTCTCATCACAGGTGCTAGATACAGACCTACGTCACTAGTACTATAGCCGAGAGTGGTTGAATAATCATCTGGCAATCAATGATAACTTTCCATCTGTCTTCCATCTGTGTTATAATCAATAATGACGGACAGAAATTTGAGTAAACCTCGAGCTCGCGCATATCATCCTATATGGAACAAAGTGTCATACTTTGAACTATTTTAGTGCATTCTTGTAACAAAATGTATCAAAATATCGAAATTAAACAGAAAATTTAGTACATTTGTACTTGATTATGCAGACAAGTTTAAACTTTTAGGGTGTGTTGAAATTGGAATATAAATTGTATATTACTTCAGTAGTCAAAGGAATAAGACAAGGTTCTCCAGATTGACTTTCATTGTTGAAACACGTACTGTATACATGTAAATCTTTCACCTTTCCACCTCAGAAACCCACTTCACTTGCTGAACGACCTCGGGTGTGTATTATAACCAGTAAATACCTCGCTCTAAACTGGGATTAGCATCTTAAGTACAGTAAGGCCTCCTGGCGACAACATTATTGTACACTAAATTTGATCTATGTCGGCATATCCAAGGTCAGTGTGGTTAGATCATGATCAATTTTCTCACAACGAAAATATCTATGATTATTGTTTTTATTACATTTTTTCCAGTGAAATATCGGATTCTATCAACTTGATAAAACTGATATCTTTCAAACTGTGATAAATATCGAAAGTGTGAAAAAATCACTTTTTGGTATTGACCAATCATAACGGTATCTTTGTTCAGATTCAAATGAAGCGACGGTCGAATAAGTGGTTGTTATGGTAAATGTTTAGTGCACACACTTAACTTTTTACATAAATAAGCAATTCATAACTTTTTTATAAGCAATTATACCAGAAAATAGCAGAAAACGTTGAGTATCCCATTCAAAATGGCGCGCAGCCTTGTTGTCAAGCGTGTGACGTCATTAGAATATGGCGCTTATTATTACGCTTCTGATTCCCAACCTTTTTTAATGCATTACATTTTTCATGTTTTATGCTTTAAAAATGTAATAAATAGACAATTTAATGGTGTCTTCAGTAAGCTAATAATTTGATAATTTATTATATATAATATTGTGAAAAATATCAATTTATTAGCCACATTCGTGAAATATATTTATTAGTACTGAAGACACCATTTAATATCCTCTATATAGAAAATATGACTTGTTAGAAACAAAACTAATTTACTCTTAGCGTAAAATTTCCTAGCCTCATCGATTTTGTCAAGCACTGAGACGATTCATTTCAGGTATCGATTTTACAAAATACCAGAGAAATTATAAAAAAAAGACATGAAATTTAATTGAGTAACGAACACATTTATTTCACTGATGATTGGGACACACAACAGATGAGAGAACGTTTCTGATACTACAGGTGGAAAAAAGACAAGAAAAATATCATGTAACTATTACCGCATAATTTGATAATAGATACAGCATACCAGAAACCAATATCGCTGCACAACGTAGCTGTTTCGTCCTTCTAGGCCTCATCGTTGATGCTAGGAACCATCGTTGATGCTAGGAACCATCGTTGATGCTAGGAACCATCGGTGATGCCAGGAACCATTGTTGATGCTAGGAACCATCGTTGATGCTCGGAACCATCGTTGATGCTCGGAACCATCGGTGATACCAGGAACCATTGTTGATGCTAGGAACCATCGTTGATGCTAGGAACCATCGGTGATGCTTGGAACCATCGGTGATGCTCGGAACCATCGTTGATGCTAGGAACCATTGGTGATGCCAGGAACCATCGTTGATGCTAGAAACCATCGGTGATGTTAGAAACCATCGGTGATGTTAGGAACCATCGGTGATGCCAGGAACCATCGTTGATGCTAGGAACCATCGGTGATGCTAGGAACCATCGGTGATGCTAGGGGCCATCGGTGATGCTAGGAACCATCGGTGTAGCTAGGAACCATCGGTGATGCTAGGGGTCAAAACGGTGCAAAACAAAATTGGTCTAAACTGCTTTTGAAAATGAAGCATTTTGCGTAAAACCGTTCTGTTACAGGAATTTATTAGGCGCCCACCTTTGTACCATCTTCATTAGTTCTTTGTCAGTTCGATCTTTTCTCTTCTTTCCTCTAATCTTTTTGATGAGTCATGTTAACAGTAAATGCACCTTGAGGTAACTTTTGATCTAAACTTAATACTGATGTGTATGAAAGCCAACCTTCAAAGTGAGTTTGTCATTTCATATATTTACTACTACAGTATTTAATGTGAAAGAAATATAATCGATCATTGTAATATATGAGAAAGATCTGTTTAGTTCTTCTTTTAATCCATATTGTTTTTATGATCAGTCTCAAAATATAACATGACAACGAGGGATCAAGGGAACCTACATTTAAAATTTGAGAAAGATCCCTCTGGTACTTCTTGAGAAATATCGACAACAAACTTTCACTATCAAAATCCAAGATGGCTGCCTGTCGGCCATGTTGTTTATCTGATCAGTCTCAAAGGTTGCCATGCACAGCTAAGGACCAAGGGGAACCTACATATAAAATTTGAGAAAGATCCCCTCTGGTACTTCTTGAGAAATACCGATAACAAGAATTGTTTAAGGACGGACGACGTCAGATCAGATGATGGTGGGCTAAAAAAAATAGAGAAGTACTTTTTAGTTTCAAATAAATCATGAATAAAGTTTGTATATCATCAACCGTGCCACGACTAGCAGACTATGAATACCACAGGGACCTGAGAATTGGTTACAGCTACATTTGGACCTAAACTAGGGTGTTCAGAGTAATTTTACATGTTTTAGGGGTTTAGATCGACTTTCGATAAAAATTACACCCCCAAGGTTCATATATAGTAGAAGGGAGGAAAGCTATCTATTTCGAAATGTTAACACTACCTTAATACCTATAACTGTCTTGCTTCAAAAACAACATTTCTAGTTGATCTACGGGAAAATGCTTAGTACCGTTGGAAATATGGATAATTTTTCTCTTAAAAACATCCTTTATACACGTTAAATGTATTCTTCTTCCGCAGACATGAACTCCGTTTCCTCCAAAAGTACACGCCATTTCAGAGTTTCAAAGGTTTTTCGCAGTCCGCCTGCCACTTTTTCAATATTAATGAGGTTGATGGCAGCGCGTGCCGAAACATGCTGTGCTGGTTGGTTTAGCGCAAAAATGGCTGCACTTCCAGCCAATCACACCACGGGTCTCGGCACATGGCTGACGTCAACCTTATTAATATTAAAAAAAGTGTACTTTTGGAGGAAACGGAGTTATTGTCCGCGAAAGGAGAATACATTTTACGTGCATATAGGAGGTTTTAAAAAAAAATCTCCTACAATGTATATATGATACTTGGGGATGTCATTTTACCGAAAGTCGATCTAAACCCCTAAAACATGTAAAATCACTCTGAACACCTTAGGTTAGGTCCAAATATAGCTGTAACCAATTCTCAGGTCCCTGTGATAAATACTACAAGAACGGTCGATCAAGCGCTCAACTATCTTAATCTTGTTTACTATAACCATTACGTCATGACTGTTGTTTGTTACACACAAAAACACACCAAACATAGCTACACAGAATTAATCATTGAATTTTGACCTCTCAAGGACGCGTCCTTCATAAAAAATACACGATTTGAGTAAACACTTTTAAATACAAAGATTTGTGGGAGATAATCCGCCTGATTTCCTTCATTGTAAGTGTACGATATTAAGCCCATACTACGTCATAGGGTTAATGTGTATTGATCTCTGCGTATATATATATAGTTTGACCAAAGACAGCTACCTAGCGTGTCCGGTATAAATACTCCAGTCACGTTCTGTCCAGTAAAGGTGACGGCAGGCAACACACATGTACAGGCTGTAGTATCGCTGGCCCTGCTGATCGCAAATCTATATAGATACATGCACATTCGACGAAACTTGGAAGATATCATACAGACGTTTCCTAGTGTAAAACTATGAACTTCAACCAGATATCAACATATTCAAAACTGTGATACTGGATTTTGACGAGAAATTTTGATTTACGATTCTCACCACAGAACTGAATTTGGTTTTGAAATATCTACAATGGCTGGGAGACTCGCGAAGAACGTAACAGAGGAATTCCTGACATGTCCGGTGTGTTTAGAGCGATTCAAAGAGCCCCGGACATTGCCCGGATGTGAGCATTCCTTCTGTCTTGCTTGTCTAGCAGGACATATAGACCGAACTCTATCAGACGACACATTTCGCTGTCCGGTCGATAGAGCAGAAATCAAATTGACAAATGACGTTAAGGATCCCTGGGTCATTGCAGCTAGCTATGACGTCAACCCAACACTGGATGGATTTTTACGTGTTGTTCACAACGACATACGACGAAATAGCGACGCTCCATCATTCTACTGCTTCGCATGCCAGACGTTGACAACTGCCGAGGCAGCGGTAGAGGGGCACAAGGGCGACGACTGTGAGTGCATCAAGCTATCCAAGGCCTATACCAGAGTCTTACCGTCTCTCGTAGGCTACAGACAAGATCTGGAAAAGATGCTTCGCGAAACTGACAGGTTGCGCTGGCAGAAGAATGGAACAACAGGCCTGTCAGAGTCTCAGCAAGAGGTACTACAACAGATCGAACTGTACGAATCCAAACTTGAGACGTTTTACATGGATACGAAGGAAAAGGTGAGTTTGCTGAAGGGAGAGGTCTTGGAGTACGTTGTCGAACAAGATGTCGGCGAGGTTGAAGATGACATGGAAGCGGTTCGAGATCAGATCAAAGACGCGTATATCGACCTGAATGACGCGATTGACGACGAGAACATGGGGTGCCTGTTGATGTCATTCTCGGACATGAAACCGAAGATTACAAAGCTTCGAAAACGCCTAAACTCTACACTCGGCAAAAGTTCACGTAACTGTAGCTTCGAGTTTGTTCCGGATCCAAAACTACAAGAGCTCTTTCACAATCAGCTGAACTTCGGTACGCTGCATTCTATCGAACACTTCAATTTCAGTGGCCAGCCTAATCCAAGCGAGGCCTCCCGCGTTAACTTCTATGACGTAGCCGTTAATGGGAAATACATCATCATTACAGATGGTGAGAATGGTATCATCAGGCGCTTCCTTATCGACGGAAGCTACGTCGACAGCATGTCAATCACCAATCCCTGTCGGATCACCTTCACAGCAGAAAGCGAAATCGCTGTCACTAGATTCTTCAAGAAGAAAATAACAACAATAACCCTCGGTAGAAAAATGCACGTGAAAGATCACATGAAGACCAAGCGTTCCTATGTGGGGATATGTTTTCTCAGTCACGACAAATTCGCCGCAACTTTCTACAGCGACGATGAACGATCCGGAATCGATATTATTTCTAAAAAGGGCGAAATTCAACACTCGCTTCTCAGTAACACTTCCGGAGCTGGGAATGACCCACTCTTTCTAGTCCCTATGTTCCTGACGAAAACGTCGAACGGAAACATTGTATTCTGTGACTTTAGCGATACCCGCCATGTCATGTGTGTGAGTGACGCGCTTTCGCCGCTGTGGTGTCGTCAAGTTGAGAGCACGCCTTGTGGAGTCACGTGTGACGCAGACACGGTGTACGTTAGTTTGCCGGATGCGAATCACGTGATTGCACTCGACCAAAAGGACGGCGAGAAATTGAGAAACATTGTAAAGCCAACTGATGGGGTGAAACGTCCGTACGCGACGAGCGCGTGCGGTGGAGAACTTGTCATTACAGAGGACGAATCCGACAAGATCCATATATTCCGTGTATGACGTCGTAATTTTATGTAAGTCATGAGAACGTTGAATAATGGTATTGCATCTACGGGAGGTCCACAGAGCATTCCGTGCTTGACATTCGGAATGTCCCATCCGTGTTTGGCGTCAGGAGGGTCCGTATGCTGTCTAGGCTAGACGCGTGGGTCGACTGCAATATTCATAATTACTGATTGCACATGCCTTCCTCGTTTGCCACCCACGTATTTAGTTCTGTTGATGCGAGAGGACAAATAGAGCAAGTCACTGCCAACGTGAAAAATGAACAGACTTTGGAAACTACGTGTAGGTCTGTGATAATTGCACAAAGAAAAATACAAGTTAAATAGTTTATACACACACATGTTCTAGAGTCATGAAGCAGTGTTTAGCCCGTCATGCAAGTAGTGTCAGATTATCAAATGTAATTCATTCTGTTTCATTTTATATCATACCCATGTTGCCTATGGGTATACTAATGCGCCGGATTATACCCTTGTTGAGTTACATATCGTTGTGTGATGTATATAGTATACATACATGTATATATACGGGTGTTGTTAAATGAATGCCATTTGATCACTGTATTTGGCAAAATATTAAATGAAAGCGTTTTTAATGATATCATGTTTCTTCGTTGTCATTTAACGTATCGAGCTATTACTCAAGTAATCCATAGAGGTTCCCAAACGAGTACTGGTTGGTTATAATGTTTAACTCGAGTTAGTTAATTTAATTAAGTTAATTTTAGGACACACGGTTTGCCGAGTGTCCTGTTCAATTTTAAAATAAACTAATTTGAGTAACATAAACATGCTAACCAGCCCTCACGAGTTTTCGGACCTTCTCATATACCGACATATATTGTCGCATAAACCACTCGGAAAAACGTGATTGCTACTTCCGCTTGAAAAGTATTTGTCATGAATTATGATATAGCAGATAATATCGTATTTGCGATAACGTAGCTTTCCGACGACGAGAGATTTTTTTATATATTGCGGCAGAGGAGGCCGGGTATTAATATTAGTACTAATGATATCGGGAGTCCCGGGTTCGAGGCCTACGTGTGGCAGAGACAAGGTCCTGCGGAGCAGGTCGATGTGGTGGTATTTTTTCCCCTGACACTCCTGTTTTTACTACACCAACAAATCATGCCACGTTCTCAAATGACCATAGCTGTTAATACGAAAGAACACACAAACCAAAATTTTCAAATTTTTATTACAAAGATATATTCACGAAATTTAGATAGCTATCTGTATTAATGCTATAGCAGTCCATGATCAAGTTTCAAGTTTTATTTTTACACTCATGACACACACGAGGTGTGTCACAAGATGTCAACATTTTAATACATTTCAGTTACATAGCAAAGTGAGTACAGATTGTTTATACAACATGTAAATATATAATACTACAGAATAATAGCAGTGCATTTATCTAATGTCACTTAAAGCCTAAATTGTTTTCTTTAGAAAATTACTTATTTTCGGTAAAACATTTGAATTACAAATAGAAATCCTTGCTTTTAGCTTAAAATTGCTTTGGGTTTTAGTGTAATAATTATGAATATATATTTTTCTTATTGATGATATATAAGTATTTTGGCATTTAAACAAATAATGTGGTTCATCCCCTATACCTGTTTGACATAAAGGGCATGTTCTATCTGATTTTGGAGTTGCATTCCAGCGTCCAGTCTCTATTGGGAAATTTAGATCAGACGTTCGGAATTTACAAATAATTTTCCTATCTTTTTCATTAAGTTTTGTTAGATATGATTCATACTGAAAGCTTGTCTTAGATATGGAGTAGAATTTACCAAGAGAAGCGTTTTCTATCTCTTGGAACCATTTCTGTATAAATTGATCCTTTAACCGCTGTTTAACTACAGCTTTGAAAGGATTTCTATTCACAGTACAAGTATTTTGAAAAATCCACAAATTGCTAAAACCTAACTTGTTTAATATATCTTTTATGTAATTATTCCATTTAAAATGCATTTGTTCATTTGATTGTAATATATGTCATTTTGTATATCAGACTAGATATCTTGCTCCCGCCAGTTAACAACTTAAACCAGAACAAGATCATTCTTGTCTTCATTTCTACTTCCAGAGGATATCTCCCGGTTTGACCATAAATCATGTAATTCGGAGTAGAATTGTTCACATTCATGATTCTTTTAAAATGTTGCAAATGCATTCTTTCTATGGTAATAGTGTTTTCGAATCACCATATCTCACAAGCATACAATAGGATCGGTGAAACAAGAGAATCAAATAACTTACGTTGCAAATCTTCTTGTACAATGCATATAGTGTCTTTTTAGCTTGTTCAGTTATTTTTGTTTTTGCTTTACTAAATGTACCATTGCTATTAAATAATATGCCCAGATATTAATAAGAATTTTTGACTTCGATATTTTCTTCATTAAATTTAAACACATATTGTTGTCTACGTTTCCCTTTTTCAAAGATGACAACTTCAACAATAGTTTTGAAACACATTCAGGGCATGTTGTAACCCTTCCGGTATCTCAGCCATTAACACAGTATCATCCGCATACAGTATTACAAATAGTTTAAGATACATTCCAATGTTAATTTGACAGAGGCTTTCTACATCATTAAGATATGCAACATCATTTTGGTTCAAAAAATCGTCAAGATGTTTCAGGTATAGGGAAAACAAAAATGGGAATACATTTCACCCTTGTTTTAATCCGACATTACAAACGAAAAATTCCGAAATTTCATTTCCGTTATTAACACATGACTTGGTATTAAAATATAAGTTTTGGTAACCTAAAAACGTTTCCATTTTCATGTATTTTACTTTTTAACAACTTTTGCCATAATCCCGCTCGCCAAACTGTGTCGAACGCTTTTCGAAAATCAACAAATGTACAGTACAGCCTTTTCCCTTGGGCAAAATATGTGTTTATTAATGAGTGTAATATAAAAATATTCTCAGTCGTCGAGTAACCTGTTCTAAACCCTGCCCGAGAGGGAGAAATTAGGTTAATTTCATCAGCTATTTTAGTGAATCTATCATTGATGATACGAGTAAACACTTTCCCCAAGCAAGACACTACAGTTATAGCTCTATAGTTGTCCGGGTCGCAAGTTTCTCCTTTATTTTTTTATAAATAGGCTTAATTATTCCAACTGTCCAAGAGTCTGGGACTAATCCATTATTTAGTATACTGTTAAGTAACATTGTATATAACGGCATAAACTTAGTTAATGTACTCTTGATATGCTCATTTAAAACGTCATCATTTCCACATGCTTTGTAATGTTTTAAATTATTTACCGCATGTATAACCTCTTCCTCTGAAATATCTTCGTCTAGTATTTGGTAAAAAGTATCATTTTCTTGTTCGGGAATATATATGTTATCATCATCCCGGTCATCATTTGAATTGTTCAGCTTTTTGAAATACTCAAAAAGTTCATTTATTGGTATGTCAGCTTTATTAGATTTAGCTTTACCGGATAATTTATTTAATAAGTTCCATAGTGTATCGGTGAACGTATGTCACAACCTGATTACAGCCAGATCTTTGATTCCACTCCCGATACTCTACGATGTCAAGGCTTGTCCTATGCAAACATTGCAGTTTCCAGGCTAACTTACCTATTCTAATGCTGTAGGTTACTCGTTCAATCAAGTTCTGTTCTGTTTACCTGTACAGCGATGGGAATTAGGAGACCTTATTATGCACCATTTTCTACTCGAAAATCACACAACCAATTTTTATCTAATATATATTTTATAATTTTACATCAATGTGTTAAATATTTTCTATATTTTATCGTCCGGAGGCATACATTTTTGGATTTGTTCATAATCATGCTTTTATTTGACACTGAAGTTATCAAAATATTTGTTTTGTTAAAAATTTGGCAAGACTATAAAGGGGTCTCATGTGGTATTTTCAAATAAAAAAATAACACAACCAATTTCCATATTTTTTTTTATATCTCTATAAAGAAGGAATGTTAAACTAAATGATCAGAGGTACATATTATCGAATTTTGCTTCAGAAAACTAGACATTACCAATTTTTCACTTCATAATCTATAAAATAAAAACTATTGTTCACCTGGATGGGAAAACCCGCAGATGCGCGTCGCGGTATGTCCGCGAAAGCTGCATATGAATACAATATTCATTTTGTGATGGTAAATATGAACATGAAGAAGTGATAAAGACCCTGGCTTCATCTCGACTAACGAAGCTTTTCAGGTTTATAACGCATCAAACGGTAGATCTATTTTAAAGTCCATAACTGTATAATTTAATGAGTGGGGAAATATTGAGGAAATTGGTGTTGACGAAAGATAGGTCCTATTGAGTTAATTATTAATATGTTGGGATGCCGAGTTAATACCCCGCTATACTATGCACACACATGGTAATTTTATATATTCTACCACATCAAATCTGATCGGATGTACTTTCATATGGCTCTTATTGTAGTAGTAATAATAATAATAACAATAATAATTTGAGGTTCTTATATACCACTTTATCACAACCTAGTTCGTAGATCAGCTCGAAGCGGTTCACAAATTATTATCCGTGGTTGTAGGGCCTTTGCAACCAGCCAATATCTTTCTCAACTCCCTGGGGAGCATACTGCCGGTGCTGCCATTTCGGCGCTCACAGCTAGCATTTAACAATTCTAGCTGTGCCCAACCACTTACTCATTTACAGCCGAGTAGACTTGAACATGGGGAGTAAAGTATCTTGCTCAAAGATACGACACAGTGTTGTGCCGTGAGTCGAACCAGCAACCCTTCGGTCACGAGCCCGGCGTCCTACCACTATACTACCGTGTCTCCTAAATGACTGTGTCATTCAATATAGGATGACGTGACATAGATCATCAAATATTTAGATTACGATGATCATTTCTCATGTGATGGCACGTTTTCATTCACCAATGACCTGAAGGCACATAGATGTGTAAAAAAACATTATGACATGAACATGCACACGTGTATCCTCATTTGACACACGCATTTCTTATGGACAATATTTAATTAAGTTTCTCTTCATTGCCATTACCATGTCACAATTACCATGTCACAATGTTAAATGTATCAAAATCTCAGGTAATATGGATAGGAAGTAAAAAGCATAGCGATGATGCACTTTTTCCAGAATGGAAATTACAGTGGGGGAATAAAGTTTTTAATCCTTTGGGCATTGAATTTTATGTAGACTTGCATAAAATTACTAGGCTAAATTATGTTAAAAAGATAAAACCACTTATAAACACATGGAATAGGAGAATATATCTTAATTATCCTTTATAAGCATGGGTGCCCAAACTACAACAGCGGTCTTTAGATATGGTCTTACAAGGGATTTGTATAGGGTTATGAACATTTCTTTGTTTACACAGCTCAAGGTCCTAAAGATCATTCCTACATTTCTGTTTACTTTTGCTACTGACAGGTTTACATGTTCACTAAACTTAAGATTAGTGTCATTAGTCACCCCTAGATCCCTTTCACTAGCAACAGATTGGAGTTTGTGAACTTCCCCCTGTTTGATGATGCTGTATGAAGTATCACATTTTTGTATGAACATGAAAATTTTGTATAGATCTATATATGCATATTAATTAATTGTAGACCTCTGAAAATAAAAATAAAACAAAAGAACCATGTCACAAGGTCTCTGATTCATGGCCTTATAATGAGCAATTAGGTATATGACAACTTTCAAGTGCATATATATATTGGCCGTGTCTGCAGTCAGCTGCTGGCTCGTTTGTAAAGTCTACAAGAGCATGCGCAAACAAGTTTTATGTAAAATGGCTTCCAAGCAGAAGCGAGAACGCATGAAAAGGGTTACGCCTGAACATACTAAACAGAGACATCGTAAATGGATGCATGCACACCCCAGAATTACTCTAGGCCAAGAGTATGATCGGTGGGACAGATTCAAGCAGGAACACGGCTGTGATAACAACGCAGATGTTGTGAGGAAACTCCTTGACATTTGGTATGTTTAGCTTTAAAGGGACGATAGTGGTAAAAATCACTGCTAAAAAAATATCATAAAGAGTGTCATTTTCAGAAAATACGTCAACAAAACTTACACTTGAACGTAGTTCCACAAACTAAAAGTATCTGCGAACACTGCTAAAAAAACAACTGTCGTCTAACAATTCTGCATCCCGTTGTTATTGCATAAAATTATCTTTCGTACACACGGTACGGCTCTGTCTAACTCTGCGCATCCGTGACCCCGTGTGACCTGAACGAGAGACAAAACATGGCGGATGCCTGGCCTAGTTTACTAAAGCGACCAGGGCCGAAGTCATTCTTAACAGAGAGCGAAAAGAAACGCAGAAAGAAGATTGCAGATGTTAAGATTGGACATACAAGAATCTACCTCAGAAACGAAGCGGAAAGATGGAGAAAGATGAAAGAAGGAGCTGAACTGAAAACAGATTCAGATTTCGCCAATCTGTTGCTGGACAGGTACATAAACGTTACACGCCTAATGTAAGAAAATTGTGTGCTTGTGACGAATATATCTGAACTATGTCCGCTAGTCAATCTCTAACACACTTATATTTATAAGACAATATCGCTTACAATATAATTGAATAACGGCACAACTATATTCGTTGTAATATTAGTTGCATGTTTGTCGCTTTTAAAATTCGCAGTCCTTACACGCCAATGCAGGTTGAGGCCCCATTGGGGGTAAATTCATTGATTAATTGCATACAAATAAAGAATGAAATTGTTGATTTTGTTCATTTAACCAGTCACTGACGACAATAAATAGTTCACCTTTACCTTGATGAAAAGCATGCATTATATATTAATGATAACAGCTTTATGTAAATTAGCATTATTTCCTAAGGTCAAATAAAAAAGTGATGTGCACTGTTAAAGTCGGAACTCTACATAAGCATAGAAAAAATATTTCCCAAAATAAGAAAAAATGCCTACTTGTATACCCTATTTTTTCTGAGTAAGTTAGTGGAAACAAGTTTTTTGTGTGGCCTTATTTGCAAATGTTTAATAATATCAGGTTTGTATTTTTTTGGACCCTTTTAAGGAGTCATGGCGCGGCACTTTGTTTAAAATCTGTGTCCTGACATCTCCTCCTTAACTATTAGGACGATTTCATTAAAAGTCCTTCATCTGGGCAAACATGATTTGGTTTCAAGTTTGTTTTTGCATGGGAAGGGAGAACAGGAAGTATGTCAGTGACCTATATACTTAAATAAGTGTATACAGCTCAGTGAATAAACAAATCATTATTGGTGGGAGACTCTGGATTCCTTTTTTTTCCCCTTACAGTTCTGGTTTATATAGGAGAGGGGGAAGATGGGTATAAGTTAGCCTTTGGCTTACAGTTATAGTTATTATATGTCATTGTCATACATCTTTTACTTTCATTTCTTGCAGTAAATTATCAACTTGTTATTTTTTTCTTTGTTTTACTTATGGAAGTAATGGATGTCAAAAGAGATCAAATTTAACAAATCAATACAAAGAATCTTTATCACTAGCAATTGTAAGAAACTGTCATGTTTGCAAGTTTTTTGATTTTGTTTTAAATTGAACAAATTGGATACAGTATTTATTGATCCTTTCTTGAAGAATTGGATCTTTTTGTGTATTCACTCTCAAAACACAACTTCTTTCCTTCTGTGCATTTTTTCAATTTATTAATTTTAGAATGTCAATTTAATAATTTCAAGAAGATACTTTGAGAGAGAAATTGAAGTTGTCATTTTTAAGATAAAGATTTTGCAAATCCCATTGCTTGAACCAACAACAAGTTTGTGGAAGATTTGTGATTGTTTGCCTTGTACAATGTACAAACCAGATAGAGACTTTATATGGTATCATTTTATATATGTATATTACACACAATTACGACGGCTCTTTCATGTAGCCGGACGTATACATTCTGCTTATAATAAAATGTAAAGTGTATTGCCTATAAAAGGAGAAATAAAACAGTTTTTCTCAAATTTTTTTTTTATTGTTCATCACTCGCTGGTAACAATGTAAACTGTACTACAAAGTAAATGCCCTGGTGTGTCATAAAAATGAGAACGGGTCAGAATGGGCCCTGCCATGTGCATGACTCGATCCCCCCCATCCCCATTCCTGATCTATTTAGATTACCAATGACCATGACCTTAAACTTTCTATTGCACATTTCAATGACAAAGACTGTAGCCCAAGTTTTTCATTAACACTGACCTTGACCTTGGAAACGAGACTTTCTTCTTTGCTTGTTTTCCCACCATTTGTCTTGGTGTCTCCTTCACACAACAAGACAAACTTATTTTTTTATATGTTGCGTTGTCATCATGGCCATATTGTCACTTCTGTTTGTTTCACAGAATTCTTGATGCCTTGAAACTGGCATATTGTCCAAACTCGTCAGAAATCTGTCCCTTATTTCCCAGACTGCACGGCTCGGGATCACTCGTCTGTCATCTGCCCCAAGACGACCAACTTGCCATAATATATAACGCCTATATGCAGCATGTTCTATTAGCTTTGTTCTAGTCTTGTTCATCAGGGAGTGCACACATAGCCTGTAGAGATGAACAGGAGCCAACACAGCTTCATCCAATATCAAGATGCCAAAGTTCTGGAAATTAAACCTTCGTTTAAATTTATACTACATACACAGATATAGCTTTAATTTATACTACTACATACACATATATAGCTTTAATATATACTACATACACAGATATAGCTTTAATATATATACTACATACACAGATATAGCTTTAATTTATACTACATACACAGGTATAGCTTTGATAAATACTACATACACAGGTATAGCTTTAATTTATACTACATACACAGATATAGCTTTAATATATACTACATACACAAATATAGCTTTGATATATACTACATACACAGATATAGCTTTAATTTATACTACATACACAGATATAGCTTTGATATATACTACATACACAGATATAGCTTTGATATATACTACATACACAGATATAGCTTTGATATATACTACATACACAGATATAGCTTTGATATATACTACATACACAGATATAGCTTTGATATATACTACATACACAGATATAGCTTTGATATATACTACATACACAGATATAGCTTTGATATATACTACATACACAGATATAGCTTTGATATATACTACATACACAGATATAGCTTTGATATATACTACATACACAGATATAGCTTTGATATATACTACATACACAGATATAGCTTTGATATATACTACATACACAGATATAGCTTTGATATATACTACATACACAGATATAGCTTTGATATATACTACATACACAGATATAGCTTTGATATATACTACATACACAGATATAGCTTTGATATATACTACATACACAGATATAGCTTTGATATATACTACATACACAGATATAGCTTTGATATATACTACATACACAGATATAGCTTTGATATATACTACATACACAGATATAGCTTTGATATATACTACATACACAGATATAGCTTTGATATATACTACATACACAGATATAGCTTTGATATATACTACATACACAGATATAGCTTTGATATATACTACATACACAGATATAGCTTTGATATATACTACATACACAGATATAGCTTTGATATATACTACATACACAGATATAGCTTTGATATATACTACATACACAGATATAGCTTTGATATATACTACATACACAGATATAGCTTTGATATATACTACATACACAGATATAGCTTTGATATATACTACATACACAGATATAGCTTTGATATATACTACATACACAGATATAGCTTTGATATATACTACATACACAGATATAGCTTTGATATATACTACATACACAGATATAGCTTTGATATATACTACATACACAGATATAGCTTTGATATATACTACATACACAGATATAGCTTTGATATATACTACATACACAGATATAGCTTTGATATATACTACATACACAGATATAGCTTTGATATATACTACATACACAGATATAGCTTTGATATATACTACATACACAGATATAGCTTTGATATATACTACATACACAGATATAGCTTTGATATATACTACATACACAGATATAGCTTTGATATATACTACATACACAGATATAGCTTTGATATATACTACATACACAGATATAGCTTTGATATATACTACATACACAGATATAGCTTTGATATATACTACATACACAGATATAGCTTTGATATATACTACATACACAGATATAGCTTTGATATATACTACATACACAGGTATAGCTTTGATATATACTACATACACAGATATAGCTTTGATATATACTACATACACAGATATAGCTTTGATATATACTACATACACAGATATAGCTTTGATATATACTACATACACAGATATAGCTTTGATATATACTACATACACAGATATAGCTTTGATATATACTACATACACAGATATAGCTTTGATATATACTACATACACAGATATAGCTTTGATATATACTACATACACAGATATAGCTTTGATATATACTACATACACAGATATAGCTTTGATATATACTACATACACAGATATAGCTTTGATATATACTACATACACAGATATAGCTTTGATATATACTACATACACAGATATAGCTTTGATATATACTACATACACAGATATAGCTTTGATATATACTACATACACAGATATAGCTTTGATATATACTACATACACAGATATAGCTTTGATATATACTACATACACAGATATAGCTTTGATATATACTACATACACAGATATAGCTTTGATATATACTACATACACAGATATAGCTTTGATATATACTACATACACAGATATAGCTTTGATATATACTACATACACAGATATAGCTTTGATATATACTACATACACAGATATAGCTTTGATATATACTACATACACAGATATAGCTTTGATATATACTACATACACAGATATAGCTTTGATATATACTACATACACAGATATAGCTTTGATATATACTACATACACAGATATAGCTTTGATATATACTACATACACAGATATAGCTTTGATATATACTACATACACAGATATAGCTTTGATATATACTACATACACAGATATAGCTTTGATATATACTACATACACAGATATAGCTTTGATATATACTACATACACAGATATAGCTTTGATATATACTACATACACAGATATAGCTTTGATATATACTACATACACAGATATAGCTTTGATATATACTACATACACAGATATAGCTTTGATATATACTACATACACAGATATAGCTTTGATATATACTACATACACAGATATAGCTTTGATATATACTACATACACAGATATAGCTTTGATATATACTACATACACAGATATAGCTTTGATATATACTACATACACAGATATAGCTTTGATATATACTACATACACAGATATAGCTTTGATATAT